CCCATTTCTTTCCTAGGACGCATTAACGTATTAAAAATGACAGTGTTGCCTAAACTTTTGTACCTGTTTGCGACCCTCCCTGTTCCCATTCCTATGTCCAAACTTCACTCTCTTCAGAAATCTTTCCTGCATTTTATTTGGCACAATAGGCGGCACAGGATTGCACGTTCCGTTTTGCTTTCCCAAGATCTAGGGGGGGCTTGGGGGCCCCGGATATTATAACATATTACTACGCAACTCATCTTCGTTTTCTCATGTCATGGTCTTCCCATCATCCTCCCAACACATGGACTGAGATCGAATCTTTGCAATTGTCCCCAGCTCATCCATGCTCTCTCCTTTGGTCGACCTCAGCAGTGGATGTCTCCTCCTTTCGCCATTTATTTCTGGGACCTATGTACTTTTCTCTGACTGTTTGGCGGAAATGTAGGGCTAAATTTACATTGGCCTCTGATTGCTCCCCACTGACAAATGTCCTCTATAACCCTAATCTCCCAGACAATATGTCCATGTCCCGGATGTCGCATTGGGTTGTAGCTAACCTTTTTCAACTGCGTCACTTGGTACATCCGGTGACTCGTAAGTTACACTCATTCCCAGTCCTCCAGAAAAAAGCCCTCTTACCTCCTCAACACCTATATATTTATCTTCAAATACGCCACTTTTTTTCCACTTTATCTCCCTCATTGACTCTGGGGAAACCTACTCCCTTTGAAAGTTTATGTATGCAGGGTCCCCACCATAGGGGTATAATCTCTAATACTTATAAACTTCTTATGGAAGCCCCCTCCTTATCCAATGATACTCACCTTTATATGCGTAGGTGGTCTCAATTCATACAACGTGACATTGATTTATTAACATGGAAGAAAATTTGGGAAAATGCATCTAGATCTTCTGTCTGTGTGGTTTTTAAGGAAAATATTTACAAGATTATGATGTTATGGTATAAAACACCTGAGGTTCTGCATGCTTATAATCCGAGTGCTTCTCCTGATTGCTGGCGCTGTAGTAGAGACCCTGGTTCTCTCTATCATATTTTTTGGACATGCAGCTCCATTACCCCTTTCTGGCAGGATGTTCTTTCCTTGTTGAATTCATTGCTGCATGTCTCTCTCCCACTTGATCCCTTACATTTTTTACTGGGTCTACCATTCCCAGGATTACCTAAATTATCCAGGAAACTCGCTGTCCATGTGCTGACCGCGGCCAGGAGAAGCATTCCTATGTGTTGGTTATCCTCTACTCCTCCTTCAATGTCAATTTTGTACAAACTCATTGCTGATGTAAGACAGATGGAATATTTGACTGCACTACATAGTTGTTCGTTTGCTGTATTTGAGATGATTTGGCTCCCATGGGATACTTTCACCTCTTCTATGCTGGTCCACGTTGCAAGGCCCTGATATCCTTTACATTGATATTTATGACTCCGCTGGTCCTGACACTATTTAATTTTGCCATCGATGTATCTTTCTGTTATGTTTATTTTCTCTTCTTAACCTTTTGAAATATACTGTTTTTGTATTTCATGAAAACCAATAAAAATTGTTAATACAAAAAAAAAGAGCTCCTCACCCACCCTTTAGTGGGGCCCAGTTTAAATATTCTCCGCCTGAACTGTAAAACGGCATCTATCTCTGAGTCACCGAACTCCTTAACCTCCATTCGTCTCAATCCTGACTTCCCCCCAGGCATGCACAAGTCATTCCTATCTGAGCATTGGCCTCATGACCAGATTTTGGTTAAACACTTTATCCGCGATGACAAAGTAAAATCATTCCGCGAACTGCTTGATAGCCTAGATAGCCGAGATTTTCCTTTCTGGGCCTATCTGCAGATAAGACACTTCTTGCTCTCACACAAACTGTTCCATAACTGGACCCGTCCCCTCACTCCTTTTGAATCCCTATGCTCTAGAGCTGAACCGCGCAAACATTTGATCTCGGAGATTTACCCTCTCCTTGTTGAGAGTAGGGAATATGATTCTTTACCCGCCTGCCATGCTTGGAACAGAGACCTGGGAAACAGCTTGGCGGACGCCGATTGGGACCTAATATTCATGCATACTCATAAATGCTCCCTCAATGTTTCGACTCAGGAAAACGGTTATAAACTGGCTTCAAGATGGTACCGAACCCCGTCGAGAATCTCTCGTTTCAACCCTTCCGTCCCCAACAGCTGTTGGAGATGTGGAACTTCGGATGGGTCCTTTCTCCACATTTGGTGGTCTTGTCCCAGTATCCAACCATTTTGGCAGGAGGTCCACAGGCTTGTAGTGTCTGTGACCACCTTGTCCCTAGCTTTCTCTCCAGAGCAGTTTCTTCTCCATCACTCCTCCCTGCCCAGGGGACAATATCTCAAATCTTTAGCCATGCATATGGTCAACGCAGCCAGACTCTGTCTTCCCACTCTTTGGGGCTCCACCCGCCCTCCCTCCATACGCGATTGGCTGATCCGTGTGGGTAAAATTGCGGAAATGGAAGAACTGATTGCGACCGCACTGGATTCCCCCACTAAATTCTCCCATACTTGGGCCTGCTGGACTCACTTTAAAACCACTCCTACGTACCGGTCCTTTATGGACCATCCAACCAACACGCCTGATTGAATACTAACCTCCATTGTATGTTACTCCACACTTTAGCTCATTCGGTAGGCGACTTCCTCACCTTCAGGGCTTTATCCCCACCTACCTGCTCCGGTTAATAGACTTATGCTCGAAACCACCCATAGAAGACCCTTGGTGTTGACGACAATACGAACCCAGTTCGCCCCCCCCCCCCCCCCCTCCCCCCCCCCCTTTTTTTTTTTTTTTTTTCTCTTCTATCTCTCTCTTTTCTTGTTCTCCTTTTCTTTCGTCTTATCTTCCTGTTACACGCCCAGTCAACCACTGGGTTCCTCTTTAGAGAACATTAGGCATGCCATTGTCATACTTATCCTATTTACATTAGCGACCCTCACGACGATCTAAGCTTACTTACAGGCACCTTCACTCTAGTAAAACAACTAGCTTCGTCCTCAACGGTTGTGCTGCATCTACACTGCCTCCTTCTACGGCGCTCCAATGAGAATTACATACTAAGGAGGTCCGACGCGATAACATTCCCATGCACACTACTATACTGCCTGAGTATTACAGACTTCCCCGTCGTGGACTGGCACAACCATGTTCCATATGTGGTTCTTTGTAAGAATATTCCTACTTTTTCCCGGTATACATTGACGAATGTTGTATATGACTATCATTCGCATTTCTTTTGTATTATTATGCACTTTCTCAATAAACGTTTTTTTTTGGTAAAAAAAAAAAAAAAAAACTCTAGATATTATCCAGTGTGGTATTATGTGGACTCCCCAATCAGAAGGGCAAAGGGTGTAGCAATAGGGTTTGCAAAGAACATAAGGTTTGAGTTGGAGGATAGAGTGACAGATCCTGAAGGGAGATTTCTGTTTCTAAGGGGTAAATTACAAGAAATAGAATGTACAGTAGCTAATATTTATTGTCCAAATAAGAAGCCGGAGATATTCTTAAAAAATGTATTGAAAAGATTAATGGATTTTAAAAAAAGGTGGTTTGATTGTGGCTGGAGATTTTAATCTTTGTATGGAATCACAGATGGACGCAACCTCTTCTGTGCAGAGAGAAGAGAGTAGGTCTATGAGATCACTGAAGAGGTTGATATACGAATGTCAACTGCTAGATATATGGAGAATTAAACATGTGAAAGATAAAGACTATACTTTCTTCTCACATGCTCATGAGACCTATTCAAGGTTGGATTACATATTGTTGGAGCATCAACTTATAGAGACCTTGGTTAAAATAAAAATTGAAGTAATGTCAATATCTGATCACGCTCCTGTTACAATGAAATTAAGATGGTGAAGGGAGATGAAAGGGAGAATAGCATGGAGGTTGAATGAGACACTGCTCCTGGATCAAGAGATCGATCAAAGAATTGGGGAAGAAATTGAGCGATTTTTTGAAGAAAATGATACAAGAGATGTGTCAGTGGCTACAGTATGGGAGTCTCATAAGGTTTAAATTAGAGGAATTCTTATTGTGATTGGGGCAAAAAAGAAAAACGGAAAGGAGAGAAAAGATTAATGGGCTTTTAAAGGAAATATCTGATCTTGAACAAATACATAAAAGTAGAATAACAAAAGAAATATTGCAGAAGGTAATAAATAAGAAAGAAGAATTAAGTATTTTGATGGAAGAACAAAAGAGAAGAGTTTTTAAAAAAAATGTCAAGTGAGAGATATAGATGGGGAGACAGGCCTGGAAAGTATTTAATGAGAGCCTTGAGAAAAAAAAAAGAATAGGAATTATATTGATAAAATAAGAAATCCCAAGGGTGAACTGGTTCACTCAACCAAAGACATTGCTAAGGTGTTTAAAGAATATTATAGTAAGCTGTATAATATTGACTCCCCATAACCTTATAAATAATGATGGAATAGGGAATATTGAAAAAAGACGGACATATATAAAAAATGCAGGATTGACAAAATTAAGTGAAGTACAATTGAATTTGTTAGAAACAGAAATAATGCAGGAAGAAATACAGGCAGCATTGAAGAGTACCATGGCGGGGAAAAGTCCAGGTCCAGATGGATATACTGTGAGGTATTTTAAAAAATATATAAAGAACTATTAGTACCCAAATTGAAGACATATATGAATGCACTGGGGGGAGAGATGGAAATGAGGCAAGAATCCCTACAGGCCCATGTGGTTCTTATTCATAAAGAGGGGAAGGATGTCACTCAGTGTTCAAGTTATATACCGATTTCATTGTTGAACACGGATACTAAGTTATATGCAAAGGTACTGGCTAGAAATGAGCGAAGTATTCAAAAATTTGATTCGACTGATTCGGCGAATTCGTGGAAAAATTTTGATTCGAGTCGAATATATTCGCTGCAAATTTAACTTATAAAAGGGTGATTCTAGGCTTCAGAGAGCCTTTATATTAGTGCAGAACACTGTACCTTTAATTTAAATGCCCTTGGAGTCTGCTGGGGAAGAGAAATAATACTGACAGTCAGTATGACATGCAGATGAGTGCCGTCGATCTTAGAATCACCGCACACTTCACTCATTTGGGCAGTCACGGGGCCAAAACCAGAGTGTGGAGCCACAGTGTGGCGGTGGAGGCAGCAGCAATGGGAGGCCATACAGCACCCTATGACAAAAATGGAAACCACCAGCAGTGTGAGGAGACCTGAAAGTGGCACATGGCAGAGTGTGGCGATGGAGACAGCAGCAATGGGAGGCCGTACAGGGACCCATGACACACTCTGGACCTGGCAGCAGCATGAGGAGGCGGTACAGGGGGCCATTACAGATTTCGGGCCTGGGAGCAGCATGAGGAGTCGGTACGGGGGCCCATGGCAGATTAGGGGCCTGGCAGCAGCTATAGGAGGCCCGTAATCTGCCAGCACCCTATGACAAAAAATGGAACACACCAGCAGTGTGAGGAGACCTGAAAGTGGCACATGGCAGAGTGTGGCGATGGAGACAGCAGCAATGGGAAGCCGTACAGGGACCCATGAGAGACTCTGGACCTGGCAGCAGCATGAGGAGGCGGTATAGGGGCCCATGGCAGATTAGGGGCCTGGCAGCAGCTATGGGAGGCCCGTAATCTGCCAGCACCCTATGACAAAAAATGGAACACACCAGCAGTGTGAGGAGACCTGAAAGTGGCACATGGCACAGAGTGTGGCGATGGAGACAGCAGGGTGCTGTCCAAGTAGGCCCAAGCCTGTTGTTTGAGGTCCTGCTCCAGGTCCACTGATGCTGCTGCTGCTGCGGCTGGTTAGTAGTTTCCCACTGCGCTGGTGAAGAAAGCTACTCATCATCGACTGCAGACTGAGGCAGCCGCTGCTGGTGGAGCTACCACTGCTCCTACCACCCCACCCCTCCCCTGCTGCCATGGCAGCGGAACGCAAGCGCACAGGGCCCACAGTGTCTGAGGATGGACGTTGGCGCACAAAGGCAGAGACCAACTGACTACATAGGTGGTTTTTATAGTACGTTATTTTGGCCTCCCTCTCAGCAGGTGTGAAAAAGGCCACCATTTTTGAATGGTAGCGAGGGTCCAACAAGGTGGACAGCCAAAAGTCATCCCTCTGTCTGATGGTTATTATTCGGCTGTCGCTACGCAAGCAAGCGAGCATGCTATGGGCCATTTGTGCCAAGGAATGCGAGGGACTCCCTGCCTCCATCTCCACAGCATACTGCCACGGTGTGTCTGGGTCCTCTGTCTCCTACTCCTCCTCCTCCTCTACCAGATGCTCCTGCTCCTCCACTCCTGTCCGCTGAGTGAGAAAAAACCACCCATTTCAAAAACCACCCATTTCACTCGTCTTGAGATCTGTGCGCCACCGCACCCTGACCAGCCATTGTTAACAGCATTTGTTCCAGGACGTGCAACAAAGGAATGACGTCGTTCATCCCATAGTCCTGCCGACTCACGAATAGCGTGGCCTCCTCAAAGGGCCTGAGCAAGCGCAGGTGTCACGCATGAGCTGCCAATGGCTGACATCAAAGTTACACAGGGGAGTACCTTTATCCGCTTGTAACATCAGGAAATCGGTGATGGCCTTTCGCTGTTCGTAAAGGCGGTCTAACATGTGTAGGGTTGAATTCCACCTTGTTGCAACGTCGCAGATCAGGCGATGCTGTGGAATTCCGTTCTGCCGCTGCAGCTCAAGGAGGGTGTGCTTTGCGGTGTAGGAATGGCTGAAATGCATGCAAAGTTTACGTGACATTTTAAGGATGTCTTGCAGTGGGATGGTGGATTTTAGGAACCGCTTGACAACCAGATTGAACACGTGCAGCCAGCCATGCAGGCGCATGGCACAACCTTCCTTGACGCAGCAGAGCAGCACCATGTTCTTTCCGTTGTCACAACCTGGTTCCGATTTTCAGTTTGCGCGGAGACAGCCATGCGAGTTCATTACAGTTCCTCCCACCATGTGGGATCTTTCCGTTGTCGGTCAACATGGTTGCCGATTTTCAGTTTGCGCGGAGACAGCCATTTCTGTCGATTTGTCGATTTCTCTGTTCATTTCACTGAGAGAAGTTCCTCCCCTGTGTGACTACGTTCGCCAAGGCATACCAGGTGCAGCACAGCGTGACACCGTTGCGCCCTGCACATGTGATATGCCGGTCGGGTAATGGGACTTGGCACGGGGGTGGCGGCTGAGGACACGAAGGAAGAAGAGGTGGTAGAGGCGGACATCTTTTGTGGACCAAGGACGTGCAAACGTGGAGGCAAAAGCGGCGTGACCTGTCCAAGTTGCTGGTGCGGCTGTGACGGCACCACGTTCACCCAGTGGGCCGTAAATGACATGTACTGTCCCTGACCGTAGTTACAGCTCCACACGTCGGCGCTGCCGTGCACTTTGGCAGAGACCGACATGCTCAAAGACTGGCCCACCATCTCTTCTACATGTGAATGCAGGGCTGGCACTGCCTTTTTGGCGAAGAAATGCCGGCTTGGCACTCTCCACCGCGGCGCGGCACAAGCCATCATTTCTCGGAAAGGTGCTGAGTCCACCACTTGGAAAGGGAGGGACTGCAGCACCAGCAACTTGGACAGGAGGACGTTCAGCTTTTGCACCGTCGGGTGCGTGCTCGCAAACTGTTGTCTCTTGGAAACGGATTCCAAGAAAGACTGCTGACGGAATCCGTGAAGAGGAGAGTAGCAGGAGAAGGAGCATCTGAACGAGCGGAAGATGCCAACGAGCGACAACTCCCTTCAGCAGAGGTGTTGGAGCCTTGACTGGCTGATAGAGGGCGATTGACGTCGGGTGACGGAGCAAGTAACGGAGCGGGGTGATGGAGCGGGGGCTGGGGGCAGGGCAGAACCGCCGTATCTTTATCACGGTTTTCCCAGGCCACCAAATGGCGACGCTGCATATGCTGCCGCAACGCTGTAGTCCCAACATGGGCCCCCTGGCCACGCTTGACTTTCTGGCCACATAGTCGACATACGGCTACGTTTACTTCCTCGGGCGGCTTGACAAAAAATTGCCACACCGCCGAGTAGGAAACTTTGCCCCCAATACTCCTCACTGGCTGACTGCTGCTTCCTCCGTGCACACCGGCACCACTACTGGCCGTGGTGGTAGGCTGCAGTGGAGCTGGTGCTGTACTCCGTGGCCGTTTGCCTCCACTGACACTGCTGCGACCCTGCTGCCTCCTGGGCAACCCACCGACTGTTTTGCTCGCTGCCAAGCTGCCACCTCTCTTCTCCTGATGATGCGGAAGCAATAGCCTGATGACGACGAGGCTGCCAAGTGCGATCAGCCTCATCATCATCAATTAGGGTCTCCGCCTCACTACTAGCCCCCTCGGCTGCGTGTGGGTCAGGAGACAGACCTGTCTCTAGACCGGCTACCGAGCCACTCTCCTCGCCACTACTTCTTCGCCTGGCTGCTGAAGAGGCGGATGTCTCCCCCCGTTCCTGACCGCCCTCTGTTAGCTCTTCCTCACTGTACAGTGGGGCTGAGCCCACAGCATGCGATACTTCGCTTGGTGAGGGAACACCAAAGGACAGGGGCAGGTAGAGGGACACGTGATTTCAGTGGGCTTGCTCCCGGGGCCATGCCAACTAACGGTTGTGTCTGACGTACCCACCGACCGTTTGGCTGTAGGTGTCAGAGGTGACCTGGGAAGAGGAAGACGACCGAGCCAACCAATCGATGACGGCAGGGTTGTCGGTGGAGACACGACCGCTGGATGACACCGGGAGCACTGGCCTCTGGCTGCGAATAGTGCTGCCTCGACCCCTTCCTCTGCTGCCACGTCTGCTCGCTCCTAAAACATTGCCTCCTCTGCCACTCCTCTGCATGTTGTCTGACATACTCTTTAATTAAACGATTCTGTGTCCCTGAGTAACAATTCTGTGTCTGTCCCTGAGTAACAATTCTGTGTCCCTGAGTAACGTTTCTGTGGCCCTAAGTAACAGTTCTGTGTCCCTCAGTAACAATTCTGTGTCCCTCAGTAACAATTCTGTGTCTGTCCCTGAGTAACAATTCTGTGTCTGTCCCTGAGTAACAATTCTGTGTCCCTGAGTAACAATTCTGTGTCCCTAAGTAACAATTCTGTGTCCCTCAGTAACAATTCTGTGTCCCTCAGTAACAATTCTGTGTCTGTCCCTGAGTAACAATTCTGTGTCCCTGAGTAACAATTCTGTGTCCCTCAGTAACAATTCTGTGTCCCTCAGTAACAATTCTGTGTCCCTGAGTAACAATTCTGTGTCAATTCTGTGTCCCTCAGTAACAATTCTGTGTCCCTCAGTAACAATTCTGTGTCCCTGAGTAACAATTCTGTGTCTGTCCCTGAGTAACAATTCTGTGTCCCTGAGTAACAATTTCTGTGTCCCTAAGTAACAATTCTGTGTCCCTCAGTAACAATTCTGTGTCCCTCAGTAACAATTCTGTGTCTGTCCCTGAGTAACAATTCTGTGTGTCCCTGAGTAACAATTCTGTGTCCCTGAGTAACAATTCTGTGTCTGTCTGAGTAACAATTCTGTGTCCCTAAGTAACGTTTCTGTGGCCCTAAGTAACGGTTCTGTGGCCCTCAGTAACCAAATTCTGTGTCCCTCAGTAACAATTCTGTGTCTGTCCCTGAGTAACAATTCTGTGTCCCTAAGTAACGTTTCTGTGGCCCTAAGTAACGTTTCTGTGTCCCTAAGTAACGATTCTGTGGCCCTAAGTAACAATTCTGTGTCCCTAAGTAACCCCTAAGTAACAATTCTGTGGCCCTCAGTAACAATTCTGTGGCCCTCAGTAACAATTCTGTGTCCCTCAGTAACAATTCTGTGTCTGTCCCTAAGTAACAATTCTGTGTCCCTCAGTAACAATTCTGTGTCCCCTAAGTAACGATTCTGTGGCCCTAAGTAACGTTTCTGTGCCCTAAGTAACGTTTCTGTGGCCCTAAGTAACAATTCTCTGTGGCCCTAAGTAACAATTCTGTTTCTGTGGCCCTAAGTAACAATTCTGTGGCCCCTAAGTAACAATTCTGTGGCCCTCAGTAACAATTCTGTGGCCCTCAGTAACAATTCTGTGTCCCTCAGTAACAATTCTGTGTCTGTCCCTGAGTAACAATTCTGTGTCTGTCCCTGAGTAACAATTCTGTGTCCCTGTAACAATTCTGTGTCCCTGAGTAACGTTTCTGTGGCCCTAGTAACAATTCTGTGGCCCTCAGTAACAATTCTGTGTCCCTCAGTAACAATTCTGTGTCCCTGAGTAACAATTCTGTGTCCCTGAGTAACGTTTCTGTGGCCCTAAGTAACAATTCTGTGGCCCTCAGTAACAATTCTGTGTCCCTCAGTAACAATTCTGTGTCTGTCCCTGAGTAACAATTCTGTGTCCCTGAGTAACAATTCTGTGTCCCTCAGTAACAATTCTGTGTCCCCTGAGTAACAATTCTGTGTCCCTGTAGTAACAATTCTGTGTCCCTGAGTAACAATTCTGTGTCCCTCAGTAACAATTCTGTGTCCCTCAGTAACAATTCTGTGTCTGTCTCCTGAGTAACAATTCTGTGTCCCCTAAGTAACAATTCTGTTTCTGTGGCCCTAAGTAACGTTTCTGTGGCCCTGTAAACCCCTCAGTAACAAATCTGTGGCCCTCAGTAACAATTCTGTGTCTGTCCCTGAGTAACAATTCTGTGTCCCTAAGTAACGTTTCTGTGTCCCTAA